TTTTTTGTCACAAAATTAGTAAAGTTTCAAAGTTTTAGCCATGTACCTCCAATGGCAAATTCAGGAAGGCATACTTTTAACTTGTTTTTGCCATACTGTTAAATTGCACTCATGGCTATTTTTATATGGGGTAAATATGAAATTTTTATTAATGTACTACTAAAGAAAAAATTAGCTTCATTTCTGTTCTACTATGAATCATAAAAAGAAGTTGCCAGGTATTATTTGAAAACTCAAATTTTCCCACTGTTCAGGCTGGACTTATCTAAGAATTATTGATTCCAATTGTATTATCTATCTTTTCATTCAAGACTACCTATATGACATTACATTTATAATGATTTTTAACTATTCTAAAAACTGCATCTTCAATTATCCATTGTTAAAATTAGTCTCTGGCCCACAAGTGCATGAGATGGAAAACTGATGAAATATGGATGGTCATAACAATTGCTAATTGAGTTACGAAGATAAAATTTGTACCATTTTTTTTGTTTTGTCAAGCTTTATATGCATATGAGGTTTTTAAATATATTGAAAATAAAATTTTAATTTGGGTTACCTAATTAAACTTACTTTTAGAGTAAAAAAAAATAATTTAAGAGTTAATTATATTTACTGTTTGCTTTTTGGAGAATATAATAAAAATAAGATGCATTCTAAAAGTAATGCTTCTTATTCATTTTCATGGAAACTGCAACAAATACAGTGAGCACAATAAATCTCTTGGATAGAGCAAGTTTTCTGCTACAAGAATTTTTCTACATAATTGTCATCATTGGCTATGCGTTTTTGTCATTAGTGAACAAAAGCCTGTGGTTCACAGCTGAACCAGATTTCCTGGGACATGACTTGTCATACACATTACTGTTGCCACCACTGAAACACATTATTCACTGCCTAACTAGGCTCACATTACTTGTTTGGTCATTGCAAATGTTCAGCAATCATTGTTGAATGTTAGTGGGTATAATTTTTTTTCTGTATGGAGGAGTTCAATGAAACATTTGTGTGCACTTTCATGACAGATGCCATTTTGTAAGAGTGCTGCTCAGCTGTTATCTGTAAAAAGGCAAAAAAATAAATTATGGGTTATTATGGGGAAAGTTCAGTTTCTACCAACATTTGCATCTGGTTTTGTGTGCCATCATAATAAAAAAAAAATCGGCATTAGTTTTCAGAGCAACCATTGAACATGAATATCTGGCAATATATGAATGTATTGTATATGTATACACACGTGCGCACAGCCTTGACAGGAATTAAACTATTGTTGACCTTGTTAACGCCTAAATAGTGGGAGGTTACTTGAAGGAGGGCTAGGTAAGCAATTTGATCAGGTGTCTTACAGCATAAATAAAATGTAAGATTGTAATCAGTGGTGTTTTTGGTTTTGAAGCATAATTTGCAACAAACAGGTTAGTCTTTTTTTTCCTTTCAAAATGTTTTTCTTTTGCTCTTGTTGGGGGGTGACTTTCTTTTTCTTAATCCCATAAGCATTTTTAATGCCTTTAAAATTATAACCTAAATATAGAAACAAATATAAGAAAGAAATGAAAAATGAATTGATTTATTTTTTAGCTTATTATATAATCATCAATAAATCAAAGAATGTTCATATACTTATCAAGGACTGACTTGAGTTTTGTGAACATGTCATTCATCAAGGTCAGATAAAATTATTGTATTATTAACAAATCTCATAGGTAAAAAAAATTGAATATTTAAATTTAGCATTGTCATATTGTGACAATTTTGAGTATTAGACAATTTTTTAGTATAACGCCATCTCAAATTTGAAAATGTATTTAGTGTTTGTAAATGTAGCATATAAATATGAAATCTCTTAATAATACAAAAATTTTATCTGACCTTAATGAATGAACTCCATGTTCGCAAAACTTTGAATTTAGTCCTAGATAAGTATTTGAACATTCTTTGATTTATTAATGGTGATTATTATTATTATTATTGTTGTTGTTCTGTCTATTGAGCACTTGACAAAATTCTATTTTTTTTTCCAGACATGTTTGGTTGTATAATATCAACAAGTTCTGTTTATCAAATTTTTTATTCAAATATCTGAATTAGTTGTTTTATGTTATTGGTAAATTTGTCAAAGTTCATATTTTATATTATTTTTTCCCCCAATTAATTTTGAATGTTGCTACATTCGTTTTCAAGGATTGTGTCTTGTGTATGTTTATGTAACATTTTTTTTTTAAAATTCTTGTGTTCTCACATTTCATGAAAACAATTTCAAGTCACTCAAGATAACATCATTTACATGGTCAAACATTTTAACATGTACTGTAGTTTTTTTTTTTTTTTTTTTTTTTTTTAACACATTGAAGTGCTTTTTTAAAAATAAAAATTCCAAAGAAGTCTGGAATTAATTAAAGAGTTGCATAAACATACACAAAACACAATCCATGAAAATAAATGATAAATTAGATGTTTGAAAGGATTATTATTCCCAAAATACACTTTATTCACATACACACATGCCTTTGTAAGTAATTGTTTCTCATCATTAGAAAACTTTATTTAATATATTTAATTTTATCTCCATTCATGATAGAAACATAAAGGCTAATGTGTATAACTATGGATACAAATATATATTTTCTTATACTTTTTCAATGGTTTGTGGAGATATGTCAAGATTTTATTCAAAATAAATAAAACATTTTCTCCACTTTAAATTCAAGCACAGCCTGATTCTGTATTCCTTGAGTTTATGATTCTCTATGCTAGAGTTTTGACAATCCTTTACTTAGTAAAGGGCTAAAGGATGATTCAAAACTCCTTTGAGATTAACCTAAATCTGAGGAAGGCTGCACTGTAGCTGCCGAAAATCAAGGATGAGCACTTTTCAGAATAATTTCTGATGAAAACTTTTTGTTTAAGGAAATGATTTTTTTTCTTTCTTTTTTTTTTTTCATAATATAGATTGTTGGAAAGGAGCCAACTGTATTTATTTTAGTTTTTTCCTTAAAAACAAAATTGAAAATTTCTCAAAACATGAGCTTCACAAAATTGGATTGCCCATTTAGAGAAGTGGGGAAGTGAAAAAAACATTAGCTTATCATTTCTAAAATAAAAAACAAACTTTATGATTTGTTATTTCTAAAGAACAAACAATAAAAATACTTAAAAAATTAAATGTTAAAGTGACCTAAAATTTTAAATTAAATGTTAAAGTGACCTAAAATTTTATCAGTGAAATTTTATGATAAGTCAGGTCATGAATATTTATCTGATCCATCAGTATAAAAACTAGTTTATCAACAATAGATAAAATCAAAGGCCATTTAAAATTTGACATTCATTTGCATAAAAATTTCTTCCTTTTTGGCAAATTGAAATGTTAGTTTCTTGTGTCACATTGTGCCACACTGCTGTCTTGGCACTTAAATTCTAGAAACAATTTATGGTTATAGTTCAGAAAAAGAATTGTAGAAATAATAAACTCTGTCCACTGTTTCTGATATCATCTCCAAACTATGACCCCACAATGCTTGCAGACTTGATGGTATCCCTTCAATTGTCCTAAAGAACTATACTCTTGAACTGACCACCATTCTCTCTAAATTCTACAACAAATGCCTTGCTGCTTATTGCTTTCCAGATTGTTGGAAATCCTCTTCTATAGATCCTGTTTTTGAGGACTCACATAAACCATCTGATTCTTCGAATTATTGTCCTATTAGTCTTCTATACATTTTTGGCAAAATACTAGATATTCTAATCAACTTTGGTAGGTTTGATAACTTTTGGGGACTGTTCATACTTTTGTATAATATTTGATTCTTCATCAACATTCACCTCCCCAATTTTAATTGAGAGAAAAATATAATCATGATAAAAGAATATAACTGAGGGAATAAGATCATCATATATGTAGAGGTGCAAGTAGAATAATGATTTAATGACACAAAATAGTTTGAACCCTGTTAATTCTATGTTTGGCTAGTTTAGATTAAGTTCACACTAATGCATGAAAATAGCATGAATCTACTTCTATACCCCTCCTGCTTGCAATAGGTAAATAGTAGAGCAGTTGGAGTCCTTCAGCTTTGTAGTCTCCCTTGGGTGTCTCACTAGCATCATGGCCCTGTAAAAATTCATGTGTTTGTAAGACTGCAGTCGCAACACTTGATGTGGTTGCAACCCTCCTTGTACTTAGCAAGAAATTTGAGAGAGAGAGAGAAAAAAAAAAAAAGTACATATAAAATAAATTTGTATTATCAAAAAATGACGGCAACACTTAAGTAATTTTGAAATTACATTGTTCATGCAGAAAATATAATCAATCTAGGATTTTATCTACACTTAATTCAAATTGCCACATGTAAGAAAGAATTCTGCTTTTTATGTCATTAGAGTAAATAACATCCAATGAAAGTTAACACTAAAAAGAAATAAAAAGCAGTGCTAAGTACTGTTAATCAGATATTCCATTGTTATGATATATGCACTTTATTTGCTTATTGGTGTTGAGTAATGCCTCCTGTGACCACAACAACAGAATATTTCATTACTAAATTGTGGAGATTGGGCTGCATCACTGATAAATATATAGTCATATTGTATTTTATATTATAAAGTAGATGTTTTAGTTATATTAAAAAAAATTGTATGTGTAAAAGTTCCTAGACTTCTATTTTGACAACTGTTTTTGCTGGGAATTATTGCACACACCTGATAAAAATATGTCAGTAGTTTTGATCAAAACACTGTCATTGAAGTTCATATCTCCATGTATTTATCTTGTGCGTCATAATAAGACACACAAAGTTTGTAACTTTTTAAAATGTTACTAAATTGATTTCTTTTCAGTTTGGATGAAACTTGGAAGAAATAAAACTTTAAACTTTATTCTTTCCTTTATACAGTTTTTGTGTTTCTTAAATGTTGTACACAGATTCTTCATAGAGTTAATTTTTAAAACAGCCTGAAAATAAAATGTTAATGAAAGAAACTTGCTTTATTTTCAGGTTTTTGTTTCTTCCCAACAAGATTTTGTCAAAATGAATGGTAACCAAGGCAACAGTGACTGGTTTATGCAGGATGACGTCAGTGACAATGATCCAGAAATCTACAATTTAGTGCTCCAAGAAAAACTGAGGCAAAAGCAAGGATTGGAATTAATTGCTTCTGAAAATTTTACAAGCAAAGCTGTTCTACAGATCCTTGGATCTTGTCTTACCAATAAATATTCTGAGGGCTACCCAGGACAGAGGTAAGCAGGGTTAAAAATTTTAATTATTTTTTGTTATTCAATTGAATTGATTTGAATAATTTTTAAAGGATTACCTGAGCACTGAATTTCACTTTTAGCAAAAATAGAGTTGGTCAGGATGGAAATCAATGAAATAGTATTGTTTAATGATTTGTGTGTATGTACGCACATAAAGACACTTCCTAAAAATTTTGGCATTTTGACCGAGAACAAAAATAAATTTGTCCTAACACCAAATTTGTACCATTTCTTGAATTTGTCTCATTGAAAAAGAAGACTGGCTTGTTTGAAAATTCCAACTTTAAAATCTTTCTCTTTGTGTTTCAAAAGGCTAATATATAATAAATAACTTCAATGTTATTGCCAATATTGTTATCATATTGGCTTTTTATTTCTCAAATTTTATTAACCGGCCTATTAAATCTATATAAGAAGTACATATAGATCATCTTTAATTTTAATCTTATATAGTCTGTTTAGACAGTATTGGGTTGGAACAAAATAAATGATTGTTCTGGAATTACATTAGTGTGGTCAGTTTCTTGCATCATTCCTTTCTTCTTATCGCATATATATATATAAAAAAAAATGTTATGCCAATAGTCAACAGTGACATTGTGTGTGTAATTATCAGGCCACTGACAAAGGTTTTTTTTTTCTGATTTTTGTGGACAAAATTTGTATTAGCAAGCAGCATATTTAATAACTGATTAAAAGAAAGACCCCCCCCCAAAAAAAAACTTGTTAACTAACCTGCACCCAAAACAACCATAATTCAAAACCTTTATCTGACCTTAAATAACCAAAAGCATTAAGCAAAAACAACCAAACCCAAAATACTACGGGTGGTTTGCATATACAATCTGTACTCAGTCAGTTATGTGCCATGCATGATACATGCTTAGGTGATCATGTATCTTTTGATACATGACTGATGAGGCAGATTTTTTTTTCCGCAGTAGGTTGTCATTACTTTCAGCGGTAGACCAGTTGCCATCCAAGGCTATAGAATGTGGTCCTGCTATTTACTCATAACTGGGAGGAAAAGAAGAGGATTCATACCTTTCCCAAGGGTATTAGCACATAAGTGAACATAATGGATTTGACTGGAATTTGAACTCGGATCTCCGATTCCTTAATCCAAGCCTCTATCCATTTCTCCACCGTGCCTCCTCATACTTACCTAAGGAGAATAACAACCCAATGGTATGAGATGGAATTGCCATTTCAAGACTAGTAGAAATGTTAATACCAAATGATGTGGTGGGGGGACAAATGACCAAACAGGTTACCGGAACATAAAAATGTTTGTCTTTTCATAAGAGTGCTTAATATTACTGGAATTGCAAGTCTCTCTCTCATTTTAAAGCTCTGTATATCATCTTTCAAGTGTTGTTTGAGTTATTTATTACTTTTTTTGTTATAGCTTATTGAAGAAAAGATGAAATAATTGCAATTATTATGTCATTGTGTTCAAATTTTATTACACTACTGAAGCCATTAGAAACAGTAAGAGTACTAGGTGCTGTAGTTCGTTTTAAAATAGATGACTCCAAAAACTTTGATTTGGTGATATGGATCTCCAACATATAATCTGTTGGTGATTGCCAATTGTCACTTGACAATGAAGAATTTAGGGCAGCTTATTCGGAAACATACACTTAGACATTGGAAGCAAAGCTGGGCATATTTTGTTCCAACCTGATATCCAACTATTTAATATAAATGAAAAAAATAGCTTGGTTAAGTTTTAGTCCTCTTCAGTCTACTCCTCTCTACTCCCCTAACACTTATCCCAGAGTCTCTTCTAGACTGTATCACAATTTTAGACACTTATTTTTTTATCAAAATATAAAATAAATATTTATTTGAATTTGAAGGTTTATTTGTTAAATGGTGGTAAACAAACAATAACTGTTAATATAAAATACCTTGAATTTTGGAGTCTCGGATTAATAGCCATGTTGTGTGTTTGAAACTTTAACCAATAGAAATGTTTAATAACTTCAAATTTGCAAAAAATAAAATGATGCTGGAAATTATAAAAAAATGATTTGCAGGTATTTCCAAACGATAAGAAAGTTTGTTGAAGATGCTCGACAACTCTAATGCAGATCTGATAATGACAAATTGAGGATATTATCTTGTTGATTTGTGTACCATATCAAGAAAGAACTTTATAAATATTCTTAATTTGAAAGCTTTGATGCTGTTAGTGTTCTAAATTGTGTCACAAAATGTGTAGAACCAATCAGCAGGCTGTTTAAAAGACATTCATCAAAATTAAATGGCCTATATTTTTATTTTATTTTTACTGACAAATATAAGCAAAGGCTGCTGAGTGACTAGTTATAGAAATCTACATGACATACTTATATGTAAAAACTACTTGACAAATTGTGTTTTCTGAGGTGGAATTATAAGTGGTGAAGTGGGTTCATGGTGAGTTTCAGGTGGCATAAAGATGATGGGCATTATTTGCGTGACATTACAATGATTGTTGTCAATTCTTTGTTCAAAACATTTGTATTTGTAAACTTCATGCACATTCTAATTTTAATTTTTAAGTTAAAATGTATATCCAGTTTATTTTTTATTTTATTTTCAAAATAAAGAAAATGAAAATAAATTTGCAGTTTCTCCATTCCTGAGAATTAGAAAAAATAGTGTGTAATATTGCCAGCTACAAATGTAAATGAATGACCATTTAAAAGAAAAACTTGATAATTTTAAAAATTTTATTTTGATTTTTCTACAGAGAAACACAAATTTCAAAGTTTAAAGAACTAAAAATATATTTTTTTTATTATCCTCTATTTTATAATATGAATTCAGTGTACCGTATTTGAAACAACAAAAAATGTAAGAGGAAAACAACTGATTTCGCTCCCGCTTTTCAAGGTTTATGATCGGGAGTAAAAAGATTAAAATAAATTCTTAAATTAGCAAATAATTGATGAGAAGGTTGGGAGAGAATGAGGGTGAAAAGTACTAGAGACTAATTATAGCAAGCCCCCAACAAACAATCACGCTGTTTACAGAGAGAAGTACACCCCCACTTTTTTTTATACTGTTTACATAGAAAAAAAAAATAGAGTGGGAGGGAGAATACTTCTCTCTGTAAACAGTGTGATTGTTTGTTGGGGGCTTGCTATAATTAGTCTCTAGTACTCCCCATATCCCTTCTTTTTTCTGTTTTTGTCCTATCATCAATCATTTGCAAATTTAAGAATTTATTGTATTTTACTCTTTTTACTCCTGATTAAAAATCTTGAAGAGTGGGAGTGAAACCAGTTTTCCTCTTTCATTTTTTAATTATGCCAAGTAATATTCAGCTAAATGTCTTTACAGCAATACTCAAGTTCTGTACAAATAAGTGTGTGTATATATATATATATATATATATATATATATATAATATTGCAGCTAATAAAAGAGTGATCAATGTATTACAACAGAGCTATTAAGCATATATTAATGAATATACATATTATCCCTCACCTTTAAAACAACACAATCTTCAGGTGCTGAGTATGGACTGACCATTATGTAATTTGAATTTTAACCTTTAGCACACTTGAGGCGAAAATTGTTGCTGTAGAATTCTCTCCCTTTGCAGCTCTGTGTGCATTCTGTCACGTTGAAACAGTTCTGATAAATAAATGATTGCCAATTGTTATTTTGAGTATTTTAAGATGGAAATTGCCTACTACTGTTTTGAAATGAGGTTAAACTTCCATTTTTCAATGACATTTTGAATTTTTCTTGACTCTACACAAGGTGTAACATTGATTAAACCCATGTAAATTTTTTTGCAATTTTCTGTAAACAAAAATGGCTGCATCAACATTCAACGAAGCCTTTATTCAGGAGTTTTTCTTTGATTCATACTCTGATGATGATTTTGAAGTCTTTACTTAAGTGGATATTGGCGGTGAAGCGGTTGAAGATACACACTAATGACGTAGAGGAAAGTGATGATAACCACTAGCGGCTACAATCATCCATGAGTGACTAATTTTATGAAAGTTACTGGTGACCATCAATGTACTTGATAGCCTTTCTGAAGGTGAATTATTTTGTCTATTTATCAACAGCAAAATAACTTTATTTGTCAATGTGTCAAATAAATATGCTAGTCAGGTAAAAGAAAGACCAAACAAATGCTGGTATCTACTTGTATGTAAACATTTGGAAGGATGTCACTTTTTTGACGAAATAAAAGCTTTTTTAGCTATTTTGCTTATTGCACCCCATAACACCACAGAGTAATAGAGTATGTTAAATTGTTAATGTATTTGTTTTTTTTTTTTTTTTTTTTACTTTGTTTCAATTTATTTTTTATTTTCAACCTCAAAACATGCATGCAAAATGTAATACATTACAAAATATTACTCATCCATTTTATTAGTATACAAAAAATAAAATCTATACATACAATACAAAGAAAGTTATAACAATTTTAAAACAGTAGGTATTATGGTAGGATGTAGATTTGTCTTATTAACACAGCTATAGCTGATCTTAACATTATTTTTGTTAAAAACTTTTTTAGTGTTGGTGAATGTTTTAAGTGCTTATGAATTAAATTTAGGAAAATTTTTCTGATATTATTTTGAACATTATGGTTAAAAATTGGCTTAAACCATATGATGTTGTGCTTACAGTGTTTTTGTTTATTTTTACCTTTTGTTTTTTTTTTCTTAATACTCTAAATTTACTTTATGATTGCTTAGCTCTAAAGCCCTTATATATTTAATTTTAATATTATCAAATATTTTCTTTATTGTTGGTGGATAATCCATCTTGGACTGATTTATGTAAATTATCTAGAATTTTGTGTTGTTGGTTTGATTCTTTACTAATGTATCTATGGTTATATAGACATTTTGTATATGGTTTATAATGACCATTATTCAAGTCTCAAGTTACATCGAGAAAGTTGATCTTTTTTAGCATTGGTGGTGGTGGTAGTAGTAGTAACGGTATTATTTAGTTTGTGATTTTGTAAAAATTTTATCAGTTCCTTTCTCAGTCAGTCTATATTTCATGGGCTAGTTTTATGGAGAATTACACCATCAGCTCTATAGAGTCCAGTGTCCTTAATATTGCTACAATGATGGAATGATAGAACAAGTTCACATGCCTCTGCTGAGTCATATGCTTCTTTAGCAATATTAAATTCTAGGCTACTTCTTTTGGTTCACAAATAGTGATTATGGAATAGTATAGGTTCCTGCTTTATGATATTTATTTAGTGATTGCTAATAGGATGTAATTTTTTGCTAGATTTATATCTGACATTAGCAGATTATCAGTGATGAACAGGTAAATGTTACAAATATCAATTTGGATGAATGTACATTCTAAGGCTTCTACAGTTTTGTACCACTGGTTAATTTCTAGAGCATTTTCCATGTATTTTCATGGATATTTTGCTTATTTTGCTGATATTATTTTTAGTTGGGTTGGGTAATTGGTATTGAGGATTGTTTAGGAAATTTGCCTTGTGGTCTTTAACTGATGAATGTTTGTTGTTTGTGGAATTTGTAGATCCTATCATCAGTTTTTAGTTCAGTGGCTATTTTCTTGGCTTCACAATAAGAACAAGTAATCTCCCCTTCATTAAATATTAATATTCACAACTCAAAAATAATTAAAAAAATTTTTTTTTTTTTTACATGTACAAATCCTGTTTATTTTAATTACCAAATATAATTTTTAAAATTAAAAAACTAATCCCAGTATAATATATAACTGCACAAACATTGTAATAACCAGATATATTTTTTAAAATTCAAATTACATAATGGTCAGTCCTGAAGATTGTGTTTTGCATAAAACTCCGAGTCATGTTAGTGGTGAGGGATACCATATACATATATGTGGGTGGTGTTGTATGAGACTAATATCTTTTTTTTTCTTCTTAACTTTTATCATTACAGGTATTATGGTGGTAATGAATTCATTGATCAGGTGGAGACCTTGTGCCAGAAGAGAGCCTTAGAGACCTACCGATTAAACCCAGATGAGTGGGGTTGTAATGTACAACCTTTGTCTGGTTGTCCTGCTAACTTTGCTGTCTATACTGGTGTGGTGGGACCCCATGGTCGCATCATGGGGCTCCATTTACCAGATGGTGGCCATCTCAGTCATGGATTTATGACAAACAAAAGAAAAGTGTCTGCAACATCTGTTTTCTTTGAATCATTCCCCTACAAAGTGGACAGCGTATCTGGACTTATTGATTATGATATCTTGGAGCAGAATGCAAAATTATTTAATCCTTCATTGATTGTGGCAGGTCAGAGTTTGGTTGTTTTTTTATGTATTTAGGTGATCAAAAAAAGTTTGGTTTATCAATTAAATATCGTACATCTATTATTTAACATCATCAATTGATCATATTGGAAACAGTACATGTTGGAATCAATCATTTGATTTTCCACAAGGAACATTTAATCTCAACTACACAGCATTTTCATTAATAGTTGTTTTTAATATTCATTTTTAAATTTTATACGTTTTTTTGTTCAGGTGTTGGTCAGTGTCTGGAAGTTAGCTACTCAGTCCCTAAGGTAAACATATCTAGTGAGAAAAACATTTTTTCTCTCTTAAATCTCAATCTGTTGTTATGGGTTTTGTCTGTAGAAATATATATTGATTACATTTTTAATAATACTTCAAAGCTATATTTTATTCATTTGTATTCATAAAACTGTTTTTGCATATAATTTATAAGCATTATAACTGGAAAAAATGTCTGTTTATATTTTTATTCTGAAAACTTTTTAAATCTTGACATATTGAACCAGGTTTTTTGACATTTGCTATAATTGAGTATAGAACAAGCAGTAGGAAGATTGTGTAGCACCATACATTGAAAGGAGATGGTTTGCCTGCTTGTTATTCTTTAATAACGGTGATGTCATAGTTCTGGGCAAATCTCCTTATTGCACTCGGAGTGAAGATTTTTAGTTTGGGTTTGTGGTAGTTTTCAGCTGAAGAAATTTGAGGAAATTTTTGCTTTTTATATTTGGAATAACTTATTTTATTGCAGTAAATATGAGATTTATTTCCTTCTGATTTGCTATATTTATATTTTCATTGCAAAACCAAACTTTTGTGTACAATTCACTAAAAAATGTAATTTAGGAAACTGTCTTGTTAGAAGTTAATTTAACATTTTTCAAAATTTATTTTAAATTGCTAATTGTTACATAATGTTAATTTAATATTTCTCTCTTTGATATTGTTATCCGTGATAAAATTAAATTTTTTTTTATGAGTAATTTGTGTTTGTTTTTGTTTTTTTTTTCTAAAAGCTATTTCAAAAAAATGCAGGGTGAATTACTTTACTATTAAAAATCATAAAATAGGAGCAAACATATTTTATACTACAAAATTATGTATGTAATGTAAAGTTAATGTCATAATTAAAACTAATAAATTTAATTCCAAATTTTTTGATATTGTAAACAAGGTGTATAAAACATTAACCCTAATCCTTCTGGTAAATCATGCATTTTTAAGAATCAATTTTTTTGTACTTCTATAATTATAAAACAAGTCTATTTATGACAAAATAAGTCAGCATTACAATAGTTACTTTATTTCTAAACAATGAAATAAATAATTACTTCCATGTTTATTTTATTTCATGTCATATTTTTGTTCCAGAATTCATAATTCCAATAGTGTTTGTTTCATTAAAACTGTTTTAACATGGATAATTAATTCAAAGATTAAAATACACCCTTGTTGATGGGAAGTGATGGATCTGAAGCTCCATCAAATTATATATTAAAAGTAATAAGACCTTAATAAAGTGTTGTTGAAAAGAAAAAAAAAAAAGAAAACTGTCAGCTTAGAGTATCAACAAACGTCTGCAATAGATTTCTTCTGTCTCTTGACTGCAACACTTGTAGCCAAATCACAGTTCAAACGAGAGTCCATTGTAACAGTCCAAACAGGCAACATAGAAACGACAAAATAGAGTCACAAATCCAATCTTCACTTCTCACCAGCAAAAATGCGTGTCCATCCACCCAACTCAGAAAAATCTAATCCTCACATAAGTGAAAAACAACAGCTTTTGTTCACCGAGCGATCTTTCTGATTATTCACGCCATTCAGGGGGAGGGAAGAACATTAGCATAGATTCTAGTCCTTAAAGTAGATTTTTGCTAACTACTTTTTGGTAATTTTTTTCTTTGGCAGATCGCACACAAAACACAAACTCTTTTTCGAGGTAGCTGATAGTCTCTTTCACTACATAAAGAAAAAAATTATACCAAGATAACTTTTCAAGCCAATCTTTTTTTCTTTGAATTTTGTAAGCCAACTACAGCAGTGAACTACCAAAAAGCCTTAACTGAAACTTTGTACCCAGTGGAACAATGAAATTTGAAATAGGTCTGGGTAAGAGATGCACTGTGACTTGGCCTTTAGTAAATGACACCACGCTTGCTATCTAAATCCTGACATTTTACCTGAACTTGAACACCAATGTCTGCAATTGGTGGGAATATGAGGCCAGCTACTGTTTTTTTTTTTTTTTTTTTATATATATATAAATCTTTTCAGAAATTTCTTATTTTCCTCTTCAGGTGTGAGCTGTTATTCTCGCCATTTGGATTATGAGCGTTTCCGTAAAATAGCCAATGAAGTAGATTGTCTTCTAATGGCAGACATGGCACATATCAGTGGTCTTGTTGCAGCTGGGGTTGTCCCAAGCCCCTTTGATCATTGTGATATTGTTACTACCACCACTCATAAATCCTTGAGAGGACCCAGGTCTGGAATTGTTTTTTTCAGAAAGGGTAATTTTAACCATTTTATTTATTTTTATATTGTGTGTGTGTGTGTGTGTGTCCAAGCAACTCCTTCGCTCCTACTGGTCTGATTTCAATGATTCATAGTTCATTCGAAAGCCATAGAAAAGTTAGTTAGGCACAGGGAATGATTTTTGTTGAGCTCAGATTCAGGGTTGCCAGATTATGCGAGCTTAAACATATATATTAATATATTATACTAATCATTATCATTGCTTTCATGGTTCAAGGGGAGTAACTCTTATTTTTCCTTTTATATAAAAAATTGCTGTCCATGTTTTATCATAAACTAGCTTAAAAGCCTCCCTATCGGGTGGCATTTAAGCTAGGGAGGAGCAGATGTGATAGGCATCAATAAACTGCAGAAGAATTCAAAATTGCTGCATTTATGTATTGAATTAATGTTTAAGCTTACCTTTTAAAAGTTCAATGTTAATTCTCCTGCTGCCACTTAATTAAAAGACAATTTGATCTATATAGATCCTTATTTTCCGTACAAACAATTCTTTTTATTTCATGGGTGACAGAACAGGGGACAATTTGTAAGATAAAATAAATATAGTTTAAAGATGGGAAAATAGAATTAGTTATACATTCAACATTTGAAGAGTTAGAGAAACATAATAGCTAATTAAGTAAAACCTATATTATGGAATCTATATGAATAAATGTGAAATTGGAGAACAATTATCCAATGAATTCTGGGGTTAAAAATCCCCAAACTCACTTTATAGTAATTTATATCCTAAAAGCTCAATATCTGTATTATATATTATCTACTTTTAGGCAATATCACTCTTCAGGCTTAACTAATTTGCATACTGATTTTAAAAAAGTATATTTCATTAATTAACTGTCCTTTATTAGTGTTCGTTATCCAAGGATTGTTTTGATTTTCATATTAAAAATAGGAATATTGTCTTATATAGTGCAGAAAAGTGTTTGAAATTTGCATTTTACTTGGCCTTCAACAAGTTGGCATCTATTTGTAAAACTTTCCTCAACTATAACAAGCCAATTTATGAATAAAATGTTCATTTAAAATTTTTGTTTCAAATATTTCAAGTAGTGAATATATCTTATTTTGTGAAGCCCATTGTGCTTGTTATGTACTAAATTAGTTCCTTTGTTAAATATTGTTAAATTTTCCTGTTCACTGTCAAACAGAATGGATGGTTAAGCTCAAGTGATATCACTTTATAACAAGACAGTAAAAGACAAACGTTTTATTTTTGTCTTCGTCTAATCTGATTCTATCATAAAGTCCTTTTCAGATTTGTGTAACTGCATCTATAAATCAAGTATAAAGGAAGCATTTTCTCTCAACTGTGGAGTTTCTCTTTGTACATGTGTATGGATAATATGAGAAGAGGCTGAAAAGTTCTTGGTTTGACACACTTTCCAAAATCATTATTCTTGAAATACTGATTTTGGAAATTAGTTTTTTCAGCAAGAACTCATATTTTCAGCAAACATATATATATATATATATATAAATATATATATATATATATATATATATGACACTGATTTGTGTATGTGTGAAACTTTGTTTCAGAATCACAAACAAAAAGATGGATGAACAAAATAACGTATGTACAGTGGACTTACTCTGAAACAGTTTCTTTCAAAAAATGGCCAAACTTCTATACAGCCGCTTTTGAATTTGCAATAGGAATTTCCTTCATATGAATGCCTATCCATGTCAAGCAGACTCTTGTTTGTTCTGAAACAGCCAAAGATATCCACATATACAATTTATGTTGGCTCATGTTAATAATGAAATGTATTATACAAACTGAAATACTTTCTTATGTATCATGTATAGTCAATCAAGCATAACATTATGCATAAAAGTATATTCATATTTGTATACCAAAAAACATAACATTATACACAAATACTGTGTGTGTGTGCGTGTGTGCACATGAGCACCAGATTTGAATCTCATATTTTGTCACTTTGCCAAGGAGAAAGACTTTCTGTTGAATATAAGCATGATTTTTGAGCCACCGTGTGTATTTGTGTATTTAATATATAAACCATAGTACCTGTCAAAAATGATGTGATTATGTATAGATAAATTATAAAAATATATATTTTAGTATAAATGTATTTCTTGCAATAATTCTTTCATGGTAACAATCTTTATAAAGAATTGTGATTCCATTAGTTTACTCTGGCCTTCATAATCCTACATTTGTATATTTTAATTAGATTCTTTCTTTTCTACTTGGTCATAGAAAGAATATAAATACTTTATGAAAAGATCCCATTCACTATATGTAAAAGAAAAATATTGCATTTTATTTTTATCTTATGAAATTAATATCCCAAGTGAAATGAACAATTTATTAACAAAAAAACAATGGTTGGCAAAAAATAATGCTGATTGAAGATGTTAAATTTAATTTTTGTTGTTTTAATGCATCATTATTATTTGGGGAAAACCCAAGAAGAAATATGAGTAACTAATTAAAAGTAATTACAAATATGTATATCCTAGAATTTCTTAATTTCACCCTAACAATTGTTCTCATTTTGGTTGATATAGATATTATAAACACAACCTGATGATGACCAAAGGGCACTTGGTTGAAACATCTATATCAACCAAGATGAAAATAATAGTTCAAAATAATACAAATATATTGACAATGATTCCTCTCTGAAATAAAATACTAACTTCATCCTATATTCAAACAACCTAATAGATTTTCTGCTTATCTGCAAGCAGGATTAACTTAATTTTATATATATTTACTTAGAGCATGAGCACTGGTGAAAACATCAGTGATAAGTGATATGGATTTTTATATAATAAAATATAAACATAAATATGACCTTTCATTGCAAGATAAAGAATAGCATAATGTGACAGGAGCAATATTACAAACAACAATAATATATAATGTAACACTCAAGCCATACAGAAGGTGTCTGTTATTTGTCAACATAATTCAGACATCAAAATCTTATTGAGTCATCTTTCCATACTGTTGTATTCCACTGTTGTTTTATTGGAAGTGTAAACACTTTTATCTGCGGTTCCTTGTTGATAATATTGTATATCACTTCTTGGTAAATCTGATGGATTCTCACTAACAGTTGGAGGTTACTTTTGTAAACTAATAATCATATAGACCCTTCACTATCTCTTACATATTGCCCTACTAGCAACCTCTCATGACTTACTGGATCAGTCCATCAAGTTTAAGGTAGTCAGCACATAAATCACATGTGATGAAAGCCTGCTTAAATTTACACCAGCTGTATCTATTTTGTGAACCATTTCATATTGGCATTAAAGGAGATCACAGTTGTCATGCAGTCTTCAGGTTTCTCTTCTGGTTTGAATTTATAGTTTTCTTTCTCCTAAATTGATTGCCAACTAATGTTACAGGACTCAGAGTTTATAGTTTTTAACTATAACTGTGGGAAGTAAAGAAAGATTCATGTGTTTTCCCAATGCATCTTTTCTAACCAAATTGTCTCAGCCGTGATTTTCAATTTTATTATCAGTCAGGCTATCTGCAAATCCTATCTTTTTTTTTTTCTTAAATCATTTAAGTATCAAATTGGAATAAATTTCTTTAATTGGAAAGTTTTTGTAAATTGCCTCTAGTAGGAAAACATCCTGTTGTCAGTGAATCATTTAGGACACAAGAAAATAAAAACCTTGGCTAAAAAGAAATGTTTACAACATAGTCACAGTAACTTAAATCTATAGATTATAAGTAAAAGGTTATATAAACTACTGATAAGTGGATCAGTTTTCTAAAATGGTACTTAGATAAAATTGTAAACCTCTTGAACTTGGGATTTAACTGTTGTTGATGCTTTCTGATTATTTTATTGTTGGAAATAACACTCTTAATGTTATTCTTTTTTAAAATGTTTTTGTGTGACACTTAATATAATTTTAGGTAAGCATATATATATATATATATATATATACACACACACACACACTTCAGAACATATCTGTCATGATAGGAGTTGTGAGGTACAGATGGTGCAATTTGTGCTTTTATCTAGGTTAGCAACTTTCATGCAAATCATTAAAATAAAATTTAATTTTCTCTCATACCTATAAAATTTTAGTTTCAAATAGATTAGGTGGGAGAATTATATTTTTTTTTTTTTTTTTTTTCATTTGAAAAATCCATCCAGGACATCCTTCTTCCAACTACCCCTTTTAAGTTTACTCTTTAATTTAGTCTGGAAGCAACTTCAATGAACAAAGTATTTTATTACTGAAAATTATTTTAAAAAATTTCCAGTCACTCCTTTGCTCTGTTTATTCAAAACTTGTGTGTGTGTGTTCATATATAATAAAAAAAGTTAATGGTCAGAGTTGAATTAGACCAGGAAACATCATTCAAGCTAGAAAGTCTTAGGAATTCTACCAGACTAGCCAACCATGTGTGGAAATTAAAGGAAAAATAACAAAGATCTGATTGTAAACGGGAAAATTAAAATTTAAAAAAAAGAAAAAGCCAAACCTTACGACAGCCATAGTAATATCTGCAACCTTTGTCAACAAGAAAAGTTAGCTATAATAACATTTCCAGACCCAAAAAACCTTTTGAATGAGAGTTCGGAAATTATGACCTGTTGCATACACACTAAAAAAAAAGTTCCTTTTTAGTTTGTATTAACTCAGATGAAAAGAAAGTATGTACCTTTCATTTATGTCCTGACCAATACATTTCCAATACCCTTGTTTTTCTCCTCCTCCTCCCCTTCTATCAAACTTCACATTGTGCATTTATAAATTTATTTTTAAATAATAAGCATTCCTTAATTTAATAAAAAAAAAAATAAAGCAATAGGAAATCAGTTGGCCAAAATCGCCTGAAGATATCGATAGGTTGAAACCAAGATAGCCGAATCGGCTGATCTAATTTTTTATACTACATATATATATATATATATATATATATATATATATATTGCTACAGCCTAGGTCTTCAACATAAATAGAATTTGTATTTAAGCCAGAATGCAAGACTTGTCTCAGGATATGATTTCCTGGATTCCTACGAGTAAGGGATGGTCTACAGGTTAGGAACAATACAATAACCAGTGGAAAAAAAATGACAGTGAACACATGGCGTCAATTTAACAAACAATTAAATCACATGAACATGAGAACAGAAAAAGAGAAGATTTAAAAAAAAATTTGGGTTTGTATGTGGTGGATGTGGCATATAACACACAAGTTTCAATCATGTCAAAATAATCTACATATCTGGAGTCAATATATTGACAGTTCTTATAAAAAGGTTGACTCTGAGGGATAAGTTCATAACCACAGAACATCCAAGCCCATGTATAACTTGGGAGTTCAGTGTCCATCAAGGTTGATGCTCGAGACATATCTGTAATTCCTGGATAGGATAAAACTGGTTCAATCAAGTTTTCTTTTGGATTACTGCATTATTCAGTCTTCTGGATAGATGTAAAGTAGCAGTTGGCACCTCTCTCATTTGGTTGCTGTTCTTCAACTGCCGAATCTTAAATTTCTCTCATTGGTCATGTGATTCACCACAGGGTTGACTTGTATGAAAATCAAGGTTGACTTGTATGAAAATCAAGGGTCTAATGTCTGTCCACCAATGCCACTGATGGTGTAGGGAAGCATATCTACTCACTATCCCCATTCCACATACATGATGTAAAAAGTGGTCAGAATGAAAGGAGAAAAGAAGTAAGAAAGAGAGGTGGAAAGAGAGAAGAACACAGATATGTGATAGGTACTTTATTTCAATTTATTTGCTTTCTCTTCCTCCTTCTGTTACAATAACAACCAATGCCCTTGTATGTTGCTTATCCCGTAACTATATATATATATATAGATAATATTAGTGGTAAAATATGCAAAATATATAAATATATATATATATATATATATATATATATATATATATAGATAGATACACACATATATATTTTTGAATAAAAAAATTCCAAGAGGATAGAATCCAGGTAGAACTCAATGTCCAGGACAGAATAAGGATATAATAAAAAGGCTTAAACACTAATATTAGTGTTTAAGCCTTTTTATTATATATATATATAAATAACACACACACACTATGATCTGAAAATGGGCAAAATTGCTAATCTATATATACATAATCCTATCATCATATATAGGCTATCAATAAAATATTTTACTCACTTTTAGTAAAAATTTAGTCATTAACAATTACTCAGTTTATGATTAAAATTCAAGGACAATTACTACACAATATCTCACACTATATTCTTGCTAGTTACATACATATAACCATAAGTTTGATGCTAACAGTTACTTTTCTTGCACTTCTCGCTTGTGGAACTCCCTTTGGGCTCTATGCTTTCCAGCCAATTTTAAACTTCATAAATTTAAATGCAATCTCAATTGTTATTTACTGTCCTCCTGATTACTCTTTCTTTGGTTTTTGCTCCTTATTAGTGTTTCTGTTTTCTAATTCTTTGACATCCAATAACCTCCTTGTGTCTTCTCATTTGTGGAACTCTCTTCTGGCTTCTTGCTTTCCAATCAACTTTGATCTTCAATCATTATTTTCTGTTTTCTTAATTCCTTTTCTTTTATTGTTCTCTCTCCTTAATGTTTTTTTTTCTCATGTTATTTCATACTCAGTAATCCATTGCAGTTTAGTGGCTTTATTGCTTAGGATGAAATGATTAAAAAAATGTAATGTGCAACACTCTAGTAAGATAAAAACATCAGATATATGCCCAAGTCACTACAATACTGGTATGCATGTCTACATAGATTATTTGTCTTTGTGTCTAATTTCTTCTTTTTTTTTTCCACAGGTGTTAGAAAAGTTCTAAAAAATGGAAACAAAGTAATGTATGATCTTGAAAAGAAAATCAATGAAGCCATCTTCCCTGGTCTCCAAGGAGGTCCACACAACCACCAAATTGGAGGTATGTTTTTTTGCTGAGAATAATTTCTCAGCTTCTTTCTATGGTCTAATATTACCAACTAAAGAGAAGATAATGTTTTTGATTGTGTCTTTTTTTTTTATAAAGTAAATCCAACATGATATTGAGGCTTGGATGTAAAAGTAAGTAAGGGTTGTCAAAACAGGAATTGAAGTTGATAAAAAAGGAAAGAATAGATTTTATGTGAGGGAGAATGGAGACACTGTCTATTTTAGTTAACCCTATCCCAGGCATTGTTGAACGTTTTTTTTGCCTGCACACAACTTTCAGTTGATTCTGGTCCTTTTGTGGTTGAGGTACTGATTTGAAACTCTGGATATGCTATTGAAAATGAAAAAAAAAAATGTTGCATTATCCTAAAGGTAATTGTGAATATAGTGAATCCTCCTTTTGTTTCATAATTGATGATGTGAGGATTTTTGTAATTATAGAATTTACACAGTCTTGTTTTCTAATACTTCTTTATGATTTCATTCCACAAATGTTTTGAGTATATTCAGCATGTATTCTTTGCATTGTCTGCCTTTTGCAACTCCAAAATAACCTGCCCAAGATAAGATTAATCTTTCACTGAGGAATTGCATTTAGACAGCAGGTGATCTTTCTAGAAATTTCTTTCCCAAATCCTTATTTCCTGGGATCCCTTATAGAATATGTTTTAGTTTCTTCAAACATACTTCATCAACTGATTTACATGTTGATTTATTTCAAGAACCGTAAGCAGATACAAAGTCAGTTTGGAAGGTATCCAGACATTTTGAATATCTTTAGAACTTTTTGCACTTTTGATGTATCTTGACCAACAATTAGTGGAAACATTAGAATGCTTTCTTATGAGGTTACTCAATTGGCAAGAAGTTACTAGGTGAGTTCATGTACTGTGTGTAGCCATCACATTCACAATGACCAAGTGAAATCAACAAAGTATTTATTTTTATCAAAACATTACATGTATATATCAGCAAAAACATACATATTTGCGTCTCTGAATTCCATTTATCACCCATTGAATGGGAGCAGATTTCAGGTCATGATGAGAAGAATGGGACAAGCAAGGTGAAAGAGGACCTTTCAGATTTTTTGGAGGAGCACTGAGATAACTGTGAACTCCCATGGGAAATACATTGAAGGGAACTAAAGTATCATTGCCCTTGGTAGTCCATTTCTTTTTTTCAGTATTAAATGGTTGGAACATTTTCAGACAGACTTTGTATTTTGTTTAAAATATGTCTACAAGAATTGAAGCATAAAAACTTAACTAATGAACCTTTCTTTCTGTGGTATGAACAAAACCTGGAAAAATAATAAAACTTGATAATCATTAATGCCCCCCTCCCTTCTGTTGTAGCACCTGAATGAAACTTGTTCAGGATTTGGATATTAAACAATCTTTAAAATCAGATTGTACAGTAAATATACTGTCAGTTTTTTTTGTTTTTTTTTTAAAGAGCCATAATTCAGTTTTAGCATAAGACATGGAGACACAAGCAATTATTTGTAACACATCCAAAGTTAAATCACAATTCTAGATAAAGAGTCTTTTGGAAATGTGATTTTTACCAAGAAGTTTAATATATTTGTGCTCTTACTGCAAAGATGTCCAAAGGTTTTCCATTGAATGCTCAGTTTTGGATAAATGTTTTTGTTTACATCCGTTTTATAAATGGTATAAATCATGATTATCTATGTTTGATTTGGATCACATGATTTACAGTCATATGTCCAATCATATCTTAAACAAAATGCTGTATCCATATTGTCAGCTGTTGTGTTTTCCACATTATTATTATTTATATTATTATTATTCATTATATGATCAAAGTTAATTCCTTGCAGCCAAATGATGTACTTAATATGCTGCTTAAATATGTTTGATACTAAGACCTGTTATTAGTACATAAAGAAATCACATTTTGGTACACTAAATTGTTGTCACTTGTTATTGCTATTTTGATACTCATTTGTGCTGACTTAAATATTAAAAATTGAATGATTTCTGAAAGTTAAAATACTCGAAATGCAGTTATTTAAAGTAAATCATTAATTTTAGTGTTAAAAATATTATTTTGATTTTAGACTAAAGACTTTATGTGAAGAAATTATGCCATCTTACAATTTTATACTAAATTATGATTCTTAAAAAGCCTTTACCCTGTCTCAAATTTTGAAATGTGAGGCAGAGCAAATTCTTTTAAGATTAAATCACATGATGTATTATGAAATTGTGAGACAGGGTATTTTTAAAAATGAGTTTTTACAAAATTCTTATATTTTGAAATGGACTATACATCATCTTTATTGGTTGGGATACTAGAATTTCATTTGTTTATTTTACTTCCTACAGTTTAATAAGATAAATGTTTGGTTAGAATGTTAGGCAACAAATAAAAGTTTTTCTGCTTTCTTCACTTCCTTGAAAAGTTTTTTTTATTAAAGTTTATTTTTAGTTTTTATTTCATGTATTTTGTATGAGTAAATTTAATGAATTTTATTTTCAAACTTTACAGCTCTGGCAGTAACATTGAAGCAAGCACAAACAAAAGAGTTTAAGGATTACCAATTGCAGGTTTTGAGCAATGCTAAAGTAATGGCTAATGAACTGGTGGCCCTTGGATACACTTTAGCAACAGGTAAAAACTTTATTATTATCTTATTACAATTCTTACTCCATGCTTTTTATCACAGCAATCTGGGTCAGAATCCCAATAAACTGTTAGAATAAACTGTCAAAATAGAAATAAAGTAGTAACTTGCAACAAGACTTGAAATCACATCTTTCTCTTCAGAAGCCCATCATTCATGGACATCACCATGACCACTTTGGTCAAGGAAACCTCAAGCAAAGTGCAGTCTGTTGTCATTTGACCATCCTCTTCTCTCTGATTCTCTATGCCATCTTTATTTTATAACATAGTAAAAAAAATTTAGATGGAATAAAATTTGTCACAATAACAATGTTTCTAAATCATTTTAAAAAATATGACTACTATTAGTTATGAAAATAGGATGAGAGAGGAAGGAGTGATATAGGGACTACAGTTTAAGTTCTACTTATTGAGGGTTCTATGACCTAATTGGTAAAGTGACAACCATGAAATATGGATTGCCAAGGTGTGGGATTTAAGTTTAAGCCTCATTGGAAGCTATGTCTTTGTCTGATTTCACATTATTTGCTCTATGAAGGTTCTATCAACTAAAATTGTGATTAAAAACAAAAGCAACAATGTTATATAGGAATAAAGTGTTGCTGCTGACACTGGAGATTGAACACAGATCACCAGAGAGCAAACATAGGCAATGCAATTTTAAATAAGTAGATCACAAGATGGTAAAGAAAACGTATGTATGGGAATTAGCGTGGTGTCTATGGATTATTGTTCTGATCACTGTATGGTGGTTACTTTTTGAGTGAGTATTATCAAGCTTATATTATTAGTGTGAGTGTTATTTGAAGCCATCTGACACCAGTATTGTTCAACGGTGTTACTATAGCTGTATCTGTGATTACAAAGTCTCTACTATAACAAGCATTATGAAAGTGACAATGGGTATTCATTGACATCACAAAAAACAACAACAACAACAATAATAATAATATGATTTAAAACTAGGAATAAAATAATTATTGTAAAGATATAAAATAAAAACAACAAAAGAACTCCTACATTTAATCTTATTTTCTCCTCCGTAGTGTTGTTGGAGGAATTTTTGACAGTTTTCTCTTCTACTGGAGTTTGTTTTTCAAATGCAACTTCCAATTTACTGTAAAACTCTGTGAAGGGTTGAATATAATAGCAAATTTATTTTAAAAAAATTTCCCCATGTAAAAATTTTTTATTCTGTTTCCACTTGTTTAGCAAAAATAAATTTGTTATTGTGGATCAAGAATATTCCAAAATTATTTATCATTCTGGGTATGATGATGTTATATTCCATGCTAATAGGAATATATACTTGAAAAACAAGGTGGATAAAATAAGTACTGGTTTATTGTAAAAACCAGTATAATAAGAATAAAGGTAACAATTAGGCACAAGGTTGTCACAAGTCAATCCAGTATTGAGTGCTACTATTGGTGGGGCGATAGTTCTCGCGTAAGTCTGAGTCATACTCAACAGATCCCAGCTAGGCTCTGTAGTCCGTTGACTTACAGATACTTATAGGTAGTTAATACCTATATTGTAGTCACTCATGGGGGTGACAGGTTATTCCATTACATCAAATGATAAACTGCATCCAGCAGCAAGGCCTCTGATTGGGAGGTTTTGCAGAGTGTAGAACCATCTCTTAATTGCTGTTGTTCCCATGTCAATTCTGAACCAGGGTGGTAGCACTTGTTAGGGTTCCAGCTATGGGTAAATAGTTTCCCCCTCACCCAAACTGGTATCTAAATACTAAGAAAGTGTAGAGATGGATTTTTATAATAAAAATACCAGCAATACAAATTGCAATATATAAAATGCACATTCACAAAAATGATTCCTAAAAACTACAAATTCCCTTCAATGGGGCCATCTGTTTGGTGTGGGTGGTGACCTGTGATATCTGGGGACAGAGTCCTGGTGACTGAGCAACTCCTGATCTGGTATAAAATGACCAGGAGTGTCCACAACACATCACTTCAGTCGGATAGACAGGCAGATGGAATAGCCCAATCCATTCCAATCAGCTAGTCACAGAGTGGCAAGGGCAAGCTGGGATGATAGATGATGGCTCCGAGATAGCTGCGAATTGTTACACCATAGTATACTTGGGTAGATATGGTGGGGGAATGCAGGTGCTTGTATCCACTTTCATCACAACTATACTGTCTGCTTAGCCCTGGCAGATCAGGGTGAATGGGAATAGTCTCCCCGATAGTGTCTCTTAAGAAGAAACTCCAAGGTAGGTGGGAAACACGGTGAATACAAAAATCAAAATAATATAGCTATCTCTTATAAATGAACCAAGAGACAACATGTGAATTCTGAAACAGAAAGTGGAAATGAAATATCAGAAAAAAAAAAAAAATTTCCAACTTTCATAGTTATAGAATCACAACATGGTGAAATATCAAAATTGTCTCCCTTTTGTGTTGCAAAGTGTTATATCACCCATGACTGAACCAAAATCTGTAAAAAAAACAAAGAAAAAAAAATAATACACTTTTAATTTAAGTAAAAACCAAAAAAGATGCAGAAAAATTACTAAAAATCAAGCCAACAATAAAGTATTACTAAAAGTAAAGTAATAATTTAGTAAAGGCTTACCCCCTGCAATTTTTTAATTCATCTAAGGGAATAATAAAATGCCCAGAGCTGTCACTATGCTCACCAGAAGAAATTAAAAAGAATGATACCCTAAAAAAGCAACTAGTAACAGACAGCAAAAGAATTCAAATAAAAATAAATAGCACATCAATAAACACAAACACATACATTTTGACATTAACAAACCTACTCTACCTAAAGAAATAAAGATAGGATACTCAATAGTCAAGGTAGAGCCATACATTCCTAATCCCTGTAAAAGTCACAAATATCAGAAATTTGATCATCTACAAAATCTTTGTATGAGAGTATCAGCCTGTCGAAGATATGGGGAACTTGATGTCACATCATGAAGAGTCGCACTGTGAAAGGCTTCCTTTATGTCCAAACTGTAAAAAAAAAAAAACTCAGCAGACTCTAAAGAGTGTAACATACATTTCTGTTTAAAAAAAAATAGATACCAGCAATATATTTTTGGAAAAATGTTACCATGTGTATATCTATACTATTTTTAAAAAATATTACCCACAATAGATTTTTGAAAGAAAAATATTACCAGCAATAAAAATTTTGTCTGCATTGACAACCCATTGAAGTTGATATGTTGTAAAATTTAACCAAACCAAACCAAAATTATTTATAAAGTGATTAATTTTCTTTTTGTCTGATCTGTTACACAATTTGAAAACTGGAGAAGGTTGAGTTGGGAGAAAGTATTTTGGGGGCCCAAATAAAGTCATGTTTGTAATTATGATAGAGAAAGGCTGTTTTGTTAATTGTAAACACTCAGTGAAGGAAAAGGTCATTTTTGAAATGTAAAAACAATCACAGAAAATGTCAAACACTGTAAGATTCTGATCTTCAGCCAAATTATGGGGGTATCCATTTGTTCACTTTGATAATTTGTGCCTGTAATTGTTGTGGTGGCTACCTCCAATTTTGCTCTCAATGTTTCATTTTGATGGCAACCATGGAGTTTCATCCAGAAACAATCATTCATTGTCAAGTGATAACTTGCAACTGCAACAAGGTTTATCTTAGTGATCCAGATCATCTATAATTTTAGGTAAGCAAAATCAGCAAGTAAAAATAAGATACATGGTCTTCAGGATAGTTGTACAAAAATAAATACTGATAAAGAAAAAAAAAACCTGGTAACTGGAAAAAGTTGAAAGACAATACATACATAAATACAAATAAATGTAATAACCATAATATATAATGAAATAAAAGAAATAACTGAATTATATTAAATTATTATTATTTCCTTTAAGCAATAATTACATTTTTTCTTTTCAAGTTAACATACAATCCATTAATTTTCTTTGAGCTTTGAAAAAATGTGTCCTCTCTCCTTGAGTTTAGAACACTGGATAAACTATAAGGACTAATAATATAATGCATTTTTAAATATCATAAGTTCTGTTTATTTTATTCTTTTCTCTTCTTCCCTCCTAAGGTGGCACAGATAACCATTTGGTGTTGTTGGATTTACGTCCTCTGCAGCTGGATGGTGCTCGCTGTGAGAGAGTGCTTGAATTGATGCACATTGCTGTTAACAAAAATACTTGTCCTGGGGACAAAAGTGCTCTGAAGCCGGGAGGTTTACGCTTGGGAACACCTGCTCTGACATCTCGCCAATTTGTAGAAGATGATTTCAAGAAAGTAGTTCAATTTATACATGCAGGTTTGTGCTCTTTGCTCCAGTTATCCTGACACAGTTATTTGTTAAAATTTGATCTGAAATATTCATTGTATAATGTTTAATTGCCAGGAAGAATGTTGAAAAATATATGTAAAATGAATAATTTTTTTTTTTTCCATCCTTAGAATGTTTATTATTTATAGTAAATAATGCCCAATTACTTTCAATGATTGTCCTTGGGACTTATTGTATGACATTGCAATGCACACACTCACTGGAAACTGAGGAGGATTCACTGAGTTCAGGAACTCTATTGGGTAATTTACTGACTGCTTTTGTTCAACCACAGTGTCAATGGAAAAGTACTTTATACTTTATTTTGGAATTTCTTGGAAAAGTTTCCAGTTGATTTTATCTTCAGTATGACCCTCTCACAAAGCTTGTTTAAATGCATGAAATGGTGTTTTGATAAACATGGTTAATCAAGTCTTGGATAATTGAGACTAAAACTCCACAACCATTTAGGAGTGAAATATCTCCATTTTGGTCCATTTTGATGGTTCCATTGCCAAGCTGCAAAAGCAAAGCAGCAAATGTTCCTGCTTCAAAGTCACTTGTGATTCTAACTCACATGTTTGTTTTCAGGTTGAGTCTTTGAACATGGCTCCCGATGTAAGAATTTTTTAGGCAAGCATTGATTTCATCAGCTGGAGTTCCTCTTGCAATGAATGGTAATGTTTGTCTAAAATCACCAGAGAGTAGCACAATTATACTTTCCATGATTTGTGAATTCTGTCTAATGTCTTTGAGTGTTTTGTACAGGGTTTCAAATGCTCACTTTTGTGCCATGGTACATTCATCCCAGACAATGAAGCTTGTCTTCTCCAGTAGCTTAGCCAAGTTGGTTTCTCTTTTGATGTTGCAAATAGGAGTTTCATTGTAGTTCAAATTCAATGGAAGTTTGAAGGTGCTCTGTGCTGTACACCCTTCAGTCAAGAGGGTAGCAGCAATTCCAGATGATGCTATTTCTAGAGCTACTTTTCTTTAGAGCCTCACTACAGATAAAAGAAGGTTAGTTACAAAAGTTTTACCAGCATCTCCAGCTGCATCCAAGAAGAAAAATCCATTCATTGCTGTTGCCCATTGTTTTGAACACATTGCCCAGTTCTTCCATGTTGTATCCTGTTTCTTTCAAAATTTCTTTGTTGATTTGTCCAGTTTTTCTGTTTGGATTTGGCAGATCAATTGCTGAGATCTCTTTGAGCTAAGTTCATCACTTTGTCATCAATTTCACAGAGCTAAATTTGCAATCTCAGGATTGAATTCCATTCCTGGATGAGCAAGTCTCATTTGAAGAAGATGAGATGTTTAAAAGTTAGATAGTTGTGTCCCTTTAATTGAAAAGTGTGACAAACATTTTTGCATTTATTATATAAGAGATATTGAAAGTTAGAGAGTTGTCCCTTTAATTGAAAAAGTGTAACAGACATTTTTGCATTGATTATATCGATTTCATTTCAATTTTAATGTTTTCCAAATGAAAAGATAAAAAGATAAGAAAAGGAACATAATAAGAATTAAATTTCAGAGATAAATTATGTCGGGTTTGGTTCTTATATACATTCATTTTAATAGAAATATATGAAAAGTACATCACTTGTGTGTGTATACATGTTATTGTTGCTTGTCTATTGGGTATATCTTATGGGAGAATGGTTGGCTCAATTTTCAAATCCATCAACTAATGTGGAATGACATTGGTGCAACCATATATTTGGCAATAGAGAAAAATGTGGATCCTATGCTTCCCCCCTCCCCAAGGGAAAAGTATGAAGTAAACAAGCATAAATAGCTTTAGATGAAATTTGAACTCTGCCTAACTGTTTCCACACTCTTTATATATGTATGTGTGTGTTGCGTGTATGTACACACATATTCACATAGTTTTATTGTCAATTCGTTAATTATAGACTTCAGTTATTTTGAGTTTATTTATCGACAGCAAACCAAAATATTGGAGTTACCTTTATTCTGATAAATACAAGAAGTTCTTGAGATATTCAGCATAGCTGGATATTTTTTGGATAGATTTGTTGTATTGAAGTATGTTTAAGCATCATAGTAAATTATTCTTTGTAACATTAAATTTTTAAAATATGTAATGAGAAACTTTGAATTTTTCAGGTATTGAATTGGCCAAAGAAGTGAATTCCAAATGTGGACCAACTTTGGCTGATTTCAAGAATATGCTTGAAAGTGACCCAGAGGTGCAAGAAAAGCTGAAGAATTTACGAGATGAAGTGAAAGCTTTTGCTGAGAAATTTCCTATGCCTGGTTTTGACCAGATATAAATGCAGATTTAAGCATTGATTTGTAAACTTTTCACTGAATATTAGCCATTGGAAATTCTTTTTATGGAATAGGAAAGAAATGGTAACCTTTTTAAAAAGATGAATTTATTTTACTTTTCAAGTTTAGATAATTTTTTTCTTTTTCTCTGTTATGTTTTCTCCTATATGTAATTCTGTACACTGTTGACTGAATAACTTCTTTGAATGATGAAAATTGGAATCACTTTTGGACAATGTTGGATTATGCATACATTTTGCTTGTTAAATTATGTAGAAAACTTCTAACATTGATTTTTTTTTTTTTTTTTTTTTAAATAAGTTGACAATAAATTCCTTTGGTTTCTTAATTTTGCAATTTGAATCTGTTTTCTTGTAAATGTAATCAATTGTTTTGATTTTATTTGTTCATATTCCATACCTGAAACATTTACCTTAATGTTTTTAATTTTTGTTAGTGACAGAAAATATTAATAATGAATAAAACTACTACTATTTACTGAAAAGCCAATGTCAATGTTTAGATTCATATATTGATAAATATGTGTAGGCAGGGAAGATACTGTAAGTCAATATCTCCATCACCTTTTGTTGTCTACTCTGCCACCTCTTGCAAGATACAGTCTGAAAATTGATAAACTTATTGGCCATGTCACATTGAAACACTGGTTCTTGTACAAGAACCAATGTTGAGCCTGGTGAGTACCTAGATGGGTGGCTTGGATGTATGAATGGTATAATGGCTTGAAATTGGAGAGGTGAGTTCCAATACCAGTTGGGTTTGTTGTATTCACTTGGGAAAGGTATGAATCTACCTCTTCCACTCTTTCTCCCTGCTTTGGATGAATTAATAGTATCAGTAAATCATTATCTCCAACAAATTCTTACTAGCTAAAAATATTTTCTGGCTTCAAATAACCTGCAAAATGGTTGATAAACATTAAATAAAAAAAAAAAAAATAATCCAATCAATTAATCCTGAGAATTAATCAGCTGAAGTAGCCTTCTTTGCTGGTCTGTCTGATGTCCAAGTCTTGCCCTATCCCACTAGTATTTGATTTTGATCATAAGGCTAGCAAGGATCAAATCATATTGGTTTGATCCAGGCTGAGTGAAGTTGCAAGTAAAAAAAAAAAAAAAACAATTTGAATAAAAGAAAATGTTTTTATATATACGTTCTTTGTACAGGACTTAGTTAATTCTTGATATTAAAAATTATTAGTTCTCCTTACAGAAAATATCAACCCTTCCTGCTTCGTAAGTTCAGTGTGATAATTCGGTTGGTTTAGCTAAGTCTGAACAATGCTTATGTGGGAGGTTTCCTTCAGGCAGGAAGTTACATGAGATCTGGTGAAGCAGTTGTTTCTTGAACTGATGTCTGGAACAACTGTCTTGGACACTTCCATCTCCTGGACCTTTTCCTGAAACTGGCATGGGGTGTGACATGGCCTGGGGTTGGGGCAATTTCCCTAATTGCCAACAAGAGACCATTGTTGTCTGGTCCTGGGAAATTACTTACATGCCTAATTTTGAAAGAGATACCCTCTTTCATGAGTAGTAACTGCAGGATATCAATCTGCACTAACTCTTTTCTTTCTCATTTTGGTATCTCACACCAACACTTCCCAGTGGGTGTGGGCAATTCCTTGGCTACTCTTCAACCAATCTGGCTCTTGACTGCTTGTCATATTGCCATTATTTAAAGCTATCATTTGAAATTTTGTGTAAGCAAGATTTTCCTAGCCTGGTTTTGCTTAAAAATGAGAAATTTACCAGCTGTTTCCTCCAGTCAGCCATTCCTCCAATCCTGTCAGGGTCATTGCACTCCAAATACCCTGGTTACACAAAGAAACTATTCCCTTTATTTGGTTACAAATCAGATCCTATCTGTTTTACTTATGTTTTGTAACCAGTACTTCTGGGGCTGCTTTATTAATCAGCTTTCAGCTTAAAGATCACCACATGGCTTCTTGTGTAATATTACCTTTCTTTAAGTAATTTTTCTGGTTTTATAGAATTAAGCTTTATTTTTGGAAAAAGAGAAATCTTCATTCTTTCTCTCAGTCTGTCCATCCATTAACCCTTTTCATCTCGTTCTGAGCTATGGTCTTGATTTAACCCATTTCTTTCCATTCACCAGTGTCAAATAGTGTTACAAGAAATTTTCCCTACTGAAGAAGTTTTTGCTAACTGATGATAGAATGGAAGAGTTGAAGACCAACTTTAGTTGCAGGCTGGAAACTGAAATTCCCTGATTGAATTGTTGCATCAACTAACAGTCACCAGTATTGCTATTGATTTTGTGATATGTTGTGAATAATACTGACACAAAAACTCACAAACCAGCCACAGGTAAATGCAACCTTGAAGAATAAATTATTGTTTATATAAGCAAGAGTTGGTTGTCAGTTGTGAAAGTTGATCACTCGCCCACTTCATTCCTGACAAGGTTTCAGTTAGTTTCATCTAAGACTTCTTCAGACCAAAAACATAACACAATTAGCAGAATGGGGATCTATGGATAGAATGAGACTAGTAACATGAGGAGACCAGAGTGGGGTTATGTCATATCTATAAGGAAAATTAGATGTACAACAATACATCTGCTACAACTGACTGAATGTGTTCTTATTGCCTAAAGCAGTGGTTCCCAATTCTTTTCTGTAAATTTGCTTTCTTATGTTGCTAAACCAGTTAAATAGATTGGAGCCAATCGGTTAAATTTTTTTTTTTTTTTTTTGTAAAATGCATGTGTGTGGTTACAGTGATTAGTTGTTTTGAATTTGTAGTATACCTAAGAAAGAAGTTGTTTTTTTTTTTTTTTTTTTTTGAGGTGGGGTGGGGAATAAAGGTAATGAGGATTTTAGATGTACTCTTGCAGCAGAAAATAATGAGTCTTTATCTTGAGAATTGGATTTCTTTCTTTTGACTTTACGCATACAGGAGACAGTTATGAAATTGTATTTATATAATTCTAGTTGGTGTTTGTTTATCATCTAGGTAAATAACGGGATAGGTAAGCGAAGGAATATTGCACTATAGTAGAAGGCTATTGTTTTTCTTACAGAAAAATCTTTGCCGGTCAATATTAGACTGCCAATCAAAATTTAGTCTAAAGTGGAACATAATGCTTCTTGGAGTTTCAGTAAACTAGTCAATACTGATGAACTTTTTTTTAAGCAATTAAGGCAGGAGTGCTACTAGCATGCAAGGGGTTACAAGAGTAAAGAGGCATGTTTGAGGAAAGGATACAGAGAAGGACGGGGAATAAGATCAAGGTATCAGAAGATGTTGATTGACATTACACTTGAATATTTGAAGATTATAGTTTTCAGGGGAAACAAGGAAGAGGAAGGGAGTTCCACAGACTGGAAGTGTGAGAGAAGAAGCTGTTTGAATAGAAGAGATGGTTACATTTAACTGTTTCAACAGTGAAAAGGTGGAACCTAGATGCCAGCCTAGTAGTTCACTTAAATTCATGCAGTCTGAGAACCAGTGAAAGTTGCCGTGAAAATACTTATAGAAGAGGCAGAGGGAAGCCACTGCATGTCTGAGAATGCGACTGTGGACGAGATGCTAGAGCTCATTTCATATTTGTTTGGATTTTGTCAAGGACCTCGAGACATACAGTGGGGGCACCAGACCATATCTGACAGCAATATTCCATGCAAGGACGGATGGTTGATTTATAGATTTGAAGGATGGACTCAGATGGGAAAAACTTTCTGGCACGACACAGAGAACCAACTTTCCTTGTGGTAGATAAAGCTATTGATTTAATGTATTTGTTCCACCTCATGTCAGCAGACAGCATGAGACCAAGCCTATTTGGGAATTGATGACAGGAAGGTCATTAAAGATGATCAGGAACAGTGTAGGGCCCATGATAGAGCCTTGGGTAACACCAGCATTTGTGAGAAAGCTGGAGGAGAACCTGTTTAGGATGACCTTCATTTCATGGTTTGACAGGAATGATTGTATTAAGTCACATAATTGTCCTGTAATACCATATCCCTGAAGCTTATGAAGAAGGCTAGTATGCCAAACCCTATCAAATGCTAGATATCTCTAGAGTCACGGCTTGAGCTTCTCTATTATTGTGATGTGCTTAGTATACAAATTCAGTTATGGCCGTGAGCATATCAGTGGTAGTTCAGGCAAAGCAGAAAACATTGCTTGTTGGAGAGCAGATTATGTGAAGTAAGGTGCTTAAAAGCTTCAGCGTTGATTAAAGCCTCGACTGATAGGAACAGTAGTTAGATGGGTCAGAAGGGTCTCCAGAGTTCTTAAAGACAGGCACAACAGATGAGGACATCCAAGAAGCTGGAAAGCAAAGAGGCAGTAGTTGACAGGAGCACATTTCTTGAAGATAATGGCCAGTATCCCATCCCCACCACTAGCCTTATGGGAGTCAGAGATGATGTCCACTACCATCATTGGGGTTATGTGTATCTCACTCAGTGCTAGGGGGGAAAATCAAGTCTGGGTACACCAGAAGAGTCTAGCATTGAATTGGATGAGAATTTACAAGCAAAGCATTCAGCCTTATCAGCTGAGGAAGCTACGACCTCAAATTCATTGAATAAAAGCGGTATTGTAGGTTTGCAGTTATTCAGTATGCTCTTGCAGAGCCACCAGTAATTCTTTAGAACCAAACTTGTGAGACGCAATATATTGTTTCCTTCTTTTGGCAAAGAGTAACTTTACTTCATTGATGACATGCTTTCACTCATTATGGGCAGTGACAAAGAGACATCTGTTGCAATCGGATATGTCACTACACTACAGATGGAACTAATAATTCCTGTGGGCAATAGCAGCTGAGAACCAAGGGGATGAATGCGATTTCACTTTATACTTTCTTACATGGATGAAAACCTCGATTCCAGCTTTTACCCAGAATGTGGAGAATAAAAACAGCATTCCAGAGGACATCACAAAGGAAATCACAGAACGAGTCCCATTCTGCTCGTTTATAACAGAAAGATTTTCTGTTGGTAAGA